TATTCTTTGCTTTTACAATTATAACCTTAGCAAATGCTATGGCGCTGATCTTAAAGTACTGCATAGTATAATTAGTAAGCCTGGATAACTGCAACAGATTTCAGATTAATGCTCATTGTTTTTAAGTGTCATCATTAGCATTGTTATACTTGATAAAATATACTACTCTTAAAACAGTTACACCTCTCCTGATGTCAAGACCTTCAGAAAAAAATACTTTTGTTATCTCGTGGTTAATAATACCCAAAATTATCAATTACATTCTTCATGTGATTTTATTTTATCTTACCAATATTGTTTAAATTAAGTGCCTTTCTACTGCAGATAACATATACTTTACCTCTTTCATTGGTTCCACTACACTTTCAGAAGCAAATTAATATACCAAAACATTTAAACAAAAGCTTCTGACATCAGAAATTGTTTTATTTTTATTTTACATGTGCATTCAACATTCCTGAAACATGTAACATACCCTATCTGCACAACCAAAATATTCCACATTGTTTCTTATATATATTAAATTGTGTTTAACATTTTAAACTCTGAATGCCTTCTTATAATATTGTATGAAACAGTTTAGAGACAATGTAGAACAATTAAAAATATGCCAGTTGTGATCAAAGAACTATGCAGAAGAATGAATGATTTATGAAAATGGCTAAATTCTCTAAATTTATCCTATAAGCAGAAAGGCAAAAGGTCATAGTCCAATCTATAAATATCATAGTAACAATATGTCATTTGTGTTATTCAGTAAGCTAAAAACAGAAAAAAGAGCTATAGCTTCAAGCATTAAGAAAAAATTAACAGTGAGACTAATTGGTGATAAAATATATGCTTACTTGGTATGGAATCTCTGTTGATGAAATATGAACAGACTGATTCACAGCTAGCAACATAATTTTTAGAATCAAATCTATGGAACTATCTCAATTCTTCAGTAATTTTAACAGGGCAATAATAGATTTGACTTGATATTTACCTTTAAGAAATACAAGAATTACTTCACAATGTAACATTATTGAAGTTATTATTGCAAGACAATATTATTTTCATAAAGACTATAGAATCTAAGTGAATCCCATTCTCTGCTATGGCAGTTCACTAGTGCCAGTCATATTTACTTAGCCTAACCTACTAAAGCTGTGGCCCCCAACCTTTTTTGTGCCACGGCCCGGTACCGGCATCACAAAATGATCTGCGTCCCGGTACCGGCATCAGCACGCATGACAAGGCAAGGCGAGCCGAGCGACCGGCCAGCCAGCCGTCCCCCGCTTCTCCCTGCCACCTTCAACTCCTCCTTTGTACCTTTGTCGATGGGCTTCGGACGGCTTCGGGACGGTCGCTCGGCTCGCCTTGCCTTGGGTGCTGAAAGAATCCTCGCGCTTAATTTCATTCGAAGCTGCCCCCCCTCAATGAAACTAAGGCGCGAGGATTTCTTCAGGACCCAAACGCCGCTTTCCAACCGGAAAAGCTCACCAGAAGCACTTTCTCGTCAAAACAAGATGGCGGCGCTCAGCAAACCGGCGGCCCGATAAGAAATGTTCCACAGACCGGTACCGGTCCGTGGCCCAGTGGTTGGGGACCCCTGTACTAAAGTACCTCATCGGTTACTATCATTAGAAAAACCTGAAGGACAGAACACTATGTATGTATGTTGCTTTCAGCTCTCACAAAACAGATAGGCAGTTGAATGATTATGCCAATAGATCTAGTAGCAATTTTTTTAATTTTTGTGTTAATAAAGAAAATGCATTACTATTTTAAGAGGCTTAACATTTATGTAGATCAGAAATGCAACAAGAATCTTGTTCTATCAAGGACAAGGCTGTTCAGTTTAACAAAATATGAGTGAAGGAGATTCAGAAAGGAATAAAAGTAGTTCATTTCATTACAAAATAATTATAATGTGCCTCTATGTTACTATTTATATCAACTGTTAATAGATGACACTATTAACCAAGGGAAACTGAAATACTTCCATCTAGATCAATACATGCCACATTTTTCTCCAGCAAGTACTAATTATCCATCAGAAGAATTCTTAATCAATATTTTAAGTTAACTTATGATTTGGAGTAATCAACAAATACTATACAACTTCTTTCAGAAGAGATTTGGGTTTCTAAGTCATAAGATACATAGAGCCATTTGTCTCATTTTTTTAAAAAGGAAGTGCACATATGAATTTAACAATTGAAACTATTCCTTCAGAACCGTAATTGGTATTTAGAATAATTGTTAAATATCACAAAAACAAATCAAGATGTCCTCATTTATTAAAGCAATGCTTTCTGCCATATTAAAGTAGAATTTATTTTAAATATCAGGAATCTAATGCAAATATAAAATGGGAAATAAAATTTGTTTCAAGAACTTTATTTGTGAAAATATTCCCATTCAAAAGTTTCTTTTCTCTCTCTCTCTCCCCTTCTCTCTCTCTCTCTCTGTGTGTAACAAATTGGCTACAGAAGGTAAGCTTAGCCTTATAAACCAATCTAATATATAAGAAAAGGTTAAAGGGCATACAAAAATCACTACTTCACTGAAAAAATCTGACATCCAATTTTCAAGCTGATTTATCAGTAGAAGGCTAAAATTGATAGTTGCCACTGGTAGGTAGGTTGCTGTCTGAAAAAGCTGCTACAAAGCCTGTAGTTTTGATTTAGCCACATAGATCAATATAAACCTATACTGTTTCAATTTTACAAATATTGATTTTCTGATATAACTTCAGGAAAAGAACATACATCATCAGCTTACAGAAAATAATCTTGAAATTTATTTCATAAACTTTCATTCAAAAAGGTTATTAAAAGATATGTGAAATACAGTAAGAGAGTCACTGCTAAAATAGAATGTAATATCCTGGTATTTTAAACTGTGAATAAATTGTTATGAAGTCAGGATGCTGAGCTTTGAGATTGTATTCTCCCCCCCCCCTCAATCTGTCCCATTCTAATTGGACATTTATATTACCTCAGTTGTGAAGTATTTATCTAATATTTCTATTTATCTCTCCCCACTCCATCATTCCATGCTTGAAAATTACTTTATCGTGTTTGATGAAAAATAACCATCATTTGCTGAAGAAAAGAAGATGCGGTCATAAAGATGAAGAGCATGATATGTTTTCTATAATGATTTACTGTATGTTTTAAATATATTTTCTAAATAAGCTTTAGTAGCTGATTTAAAAAAATATTTTTGATTTTTTTTAAAAAAAGGTTTTTTTTAAAAAGGGGGGGATTTAAAAAAAACCCTATTTTAAATAAGATAAAGCAATAAATAATTCCAAGTGTTGGTGCGAGAACTATTCTTTGTTCTTTGTCAGTAATTGGAGGCCTCTGAATTGAGAGCCTTAGAATGACACCAGTCAGGAATATTAAAATTTAACCTATAAAAATTATAGTAAAAATCACATATTTCATTATAAATTATAGGATTCTCAAATTAATAATGTCATAAGACCATGATGTAAATTTATTTCCTGTTCTCTAGTTAGCATACAAAATATACATACATTGTAAAAAGTATATGTTTATACATTTTTATGAGAAAAATGCTATCAATAAATAGCAATGTTTATAAAGATAGGTATCATTGCAAGACAAAGAGAAAGAAATGTACTTTTTTATGTACTTCTCCTTTCCTGCCCTATACATATTTCCTTCATTTCAACAGATTTCCATGTGAAAAGAGACTATGATATTGCTATGAACATACTAGATGTGCAGCAGCTTATATAGATGAAGTTTATAATAAATTAATTTCACTGGAGTTATACAGATACATGTTCAGAAACATTTTTCATTCATATAAATGGAGTAGAGACAGCATCTCCGTTTGAATGCATCAAATTGTAGGGACTGATAGTTTTCCATACATGCTGCTCTCAGTGAACATAGATCAGTATACAGATTTGAAACACTTGTCAGACAGAATCAGAATTATTAACATTTCTATTACATGTTGGACCATTTGACATGGATGTCAAATGGTGTAGGGGAAGCATGACAGAATTCTTGCTTGATGACCGGGAAGGATAGTTTCATACTACCTCAGCTGCAATGACTCCCCATCCCAATTTATTATTCACTCAAGCAAGAATCAGGACTGATATGAGCTTGATAGTAGAGGAGAAGGAATATTTTATTCAAGTACTATCACACAGGCAGAAAATGATTCTGATCTTCATATGCTTTATCTTTTATATGCTATTTATTTTTAATAAATTATATAAGAAATGAAATAATAATTTTTGTGTGGTTTGACCCAACACTGGTTTTAAATAAATACATACTGGAGTCAATACTGCTTAAACATATTATGGATAATTATAGCTCCAGTAACTAGTATGAACCAGATCTATTACTATTATTTCTGAGTAGCAAATAGTTGAAAAGAAGCAAATAAAACATTGCATTTCATTCATATATTAATGTCTTTAAACAGGAAAAAATGTTGCCCGGGACCTAAGGCTTATCTAAGACTATGAAGATTCCACCTATGGCTAAAAAAATTAAATTTGTAGTTATAGTAAAAGGTAGTAAAAGTATACAAGAATGCCTTACTGTGTGAAATTGCATGTATCAAACACATGAACAAATTTAAAAAGTAAGAGAATGATTACACTAAAATATTTTAAAAATTGAAAATTTGTTTCAAGTATATTAAGTTTGGTTTAATGATTAAGTTATCAGGCTAGAAATCAGATCATGAGTTGTACTTCTGCTTTAGGTGTGAGAGCTGGCTAAGGTGACTTTGGGTTACGCTTAGGCCAGAAATAAGATAGCATAAAGAGGAAGAGGAAGTAATGAAAGCTAAAGGAGTACTTTACAATTCAGTTAAGTTCAAGATTATCCTTACAATGTAATAATTGCATGAACAGGAATTGAATCCTGTTATTTGTATCATAAATGCTCACATCCATTCAAAATACCAGATCAGAAGTATATAATTAACAACATGCCTATAATAATTAATTAACAACATACCTATATGAAACAGCTCCCCAAGCACCATGCTTATTTGTAAGAATATTCAGTATTTTCTGCTTCAGCTGATTTGCGGTAACATGATCACGATGCTTGGCTGCACTGATAAGGTGATCACACATCTTCTCCTCTTCTCTTCTATCAGCAGCATATTGGGCACATTGAGACTAAAAAGAGAAGTGATGCTTATGATTTCATTAGGCAAATAACTTAAGCTAGTTTTACTTTCTCTAAACATTTCTTTTTAAAAAAATCATTTAAACCAGGGATCTCCAACCTTGGCAACTTTAAGACTTGTGGACTTCAACTCCTAGAGTTCCTCTGGGAGTTGAAGTCCACAAGTCTTAAAGTTGCCAAGGTTGGAGACCCCTGATTTAAACTATGCATAGGACACAATAAAATTTATTATTCCTAAACTTGAAGATATTATTTATTTATTTATTTATTCATTCATTCATTCATTCATTCATTCATTCATTCATTCATTCATTCATTCTCAAATGTATATGTCCACCCAAGACCCAGAAAGCAACCTTTTGGCAGTGTACAACAATCCAATGAAACAGCAAAGATATAAAACAGTCATTATCTAAAACCATTATATAATGTTTATTAAAAAGCATTAAAAACTATAAAAGTAAAAATGAAACAGAAAGAAACCAATAGGCAGGGAAATATTAACAGTAAGAGTGATACTTCACTAGGTTACCTGTCCCATGTACTTCCCACTCCTGCTGACATAACCAGATCTTGAGGGACCTTCAAAACTTTAGGAGTGATGAGGCCAACCTCATCTCTGGGAGAAGAGTCCGAATGTAGGTGTCATGACAGAACAGGTGGACTACCTAGGACCCTAGAAATGAATCCCCCTGGCAACAGAACTGGTAACATGCCCATTCCATTGGATCTGGTGGAATGGAAGATGAACCTGGAAAATCCCTCAAATAACCCAGTTCTATGCTATATAGGGCTTCATAGGTCAACCTGTGAAGAACCTTGAATTTGACCTGGAAACAGACTGGTAACCAATACAGCTTATATAGCAGAAGTGTAACATGTGATCTACCCAAGACAAGGTGTACTATAAATATCCAAAAATGGGTACAAGTAAAAAATATTCATGCTTGCCCCAAGGATTTCTGTGTCAGCAACATCACACACAATTCCCAATTACTCTTAAAAGATGCTTTTTGATAGAGAGCAAAAAAAGAGGAGAGTATTGTTTTTAAAACACAGAGATACAATTCTACGCATATATATAAAAAGTATTTTATTAAATATTTTACATAAAACATATTTCAGTGAACTTGACAAGGATAACTATAATGCATTGATTAATTAAGCAAAATATAATCCTCACTTTTTTCATTTGTTATTAAAAGATTTTTTTTTTTTAGAAAATGAAAATCCAGAATTTTTTTTGCTGCATATGAAGATCAATAGCTCTGAGAGATAAATTATATAGAACCTAGATCTCATTCATGGAAAATTCATGCTTCCTTACAAATTGATTCTTCATTTTTATTACATGCTAACCATATCTTCTGACTCATATTTTTGTAACAAAAATCAGAAAATTTCTTCTAGATCACTGAAAATTAAGGCACAATTATGACATATGTAATATTTCAATGAAAATCTGGATGGAATAAATATATTATATCCTTTGCTTCTAAATTCATCAAGTCACATGATGTCTATAAATGCTAATATAAACATAACCCCTCCCCTTTATTGCTTTTTTAGGTTATCTGCTCTATCTCTAATTTTTAAAGAACTCTTATTTGTAAACTTATTTTTAATGAAAAGTTACCCTGTTGTGAATTCTCAGCCTTCATCCTTAGCTTTATTTTTAAAAAATGCCTCTGGGTGTTATATAGGCTCCATAGGCAATTTTAGAAAATAAAATGGTGTATGAAACCTTACTAGTAGAAAAGAGATAAAGATAAGTGAGATTGGGTGGCAAAAAAAACCCCACATCAATCTGGCTTCTTTATTTTGTAACTAACATGGCAATAATTTTGTAAATAGGTAAGTTGTTGCATAGGAATTATTTTGTGAAAGCAACAATAAGACATTTAAAACATTACCTATTACATTACCATCTTTCTTCTTCGGTTCTGACTACTTTTTACAGAGATATGATTGAGATCGTTTTAATAAACTGCATCACTGTTTGGTTTGGTAGTAGCAGTGCCTCAAATAGAAGGTCCATAGAGAGAGTGGTAAGGACAGCTGAGAAGATTATAGGAAGCTTGTTTCCTGTTATTCAGGATACTGCTTAAAAGTGCTACTTGCTTATACTCAAAGCATTGTTAGAGACTCTACACCAGAGGTGGTATTCAGCAGGTTCTGACCAGTTCTGGAGAACCGGTAGCAGAAATTTTGAGTAGTTCAGAGAATTGACAAATACCACCTCTGGAGATTTTACAGTATCCTTTCCCTGCCACGACCACCAAGCCATGCCCACAGAACTGGTAGTACAAAAATTTGAATCCCACCACTGCTCCACACACTCACTTTATGATCAGTTGCTGTCCACTCGGGAAGGAGGTTTCGAAGTATTTCTAACAGGACTACTAGATTATGTAACAGCTTTATTCCCTATGCCATCTGTCTGGTAAACTCTTAAGATTCATTTTTTTCACCATGTACTTATATACATCCGAACTAGACTGTGTTGTTTCTCTGTATGTATGTTCATAGTATGTGGGCAAGTGGGTGTATGCATACTTTTTTGTCATGTTTATGTAGTGTATATTGGAGGTAGTGACCCTTTGAGAGCTGTATGCAATGAAATTTTATGTTAACATATGCCAGTTAGTGTACATTTAAAGTGACAATAAAGTTATTCTAAGTCTATTCTTGTAAATAGTACATTAACGTATATAGCACAAAGCTGACTTCAAAATATTGCAAAAGAAGCAGTACAGATGATAGTCTTTTGCCAATATATTCATAGAGGACAGTTTAAACTTGCCTAAAATTCAGCATCACAACCTAATGTAAAAAATGGCTTCTCTTATAGTCTCACAAACTTGATTGTGATAATTGATCATGAGGTTTAATTTAGTTTCTATTTGAATGTCTAAGCTATTTAAACTAACATTTATTATTTCTACAAATAATTTTCACTGTGTTCTGTCTAACTAGATCTCCTGAGACATACAATTAATATAAGCATTACAAGACAAACAATACAAATCTGAAATAGTGAAACCTATACACTGAAAACAAAAACTTTTTAAATCTTCAATGGCTGATCAACTTCTGCACTTACTTTCTAATTTCAACAAGAAAACCCTTAAAATCTTCCTTGCATTATACCAGCTGCATATCTAAGGTTATGTTTCTCCCAGTAATAACACCAGTTTTTATATCTTTTATTTGAGCATTTTTTATAACATATTCTACAGATGTTAAATGGATAAGGTTAGAAGGCTATCTAATTTAGAAGCATTTAGTGGCTCCATATTCCATTAGAACTATTATTTCCTGGTCTTCATAACAAATTTTCAGTACACCCATCTTTTAAAGAAATAATTACAATTGGACAATTGTCAGAAGCTATCAAAGCAAAAATGTAGGTAGTCCTGGAGTTCCATCACTGCAAAAAATTATTATGACCATTTTTCACACTTACAAATGTTGCAGCATCCCCATGGTCATGTGATCAAAATCTGGATGTTTGGCAACTGGTTCACATTTATGATTGTTGCAATGTCCAGGATCATGTGTGATCATCTTTTGTGACAAGCAAAGTCAATGGGGAAGACAGATTCATTTAGCAACCATGTTAAGCGGACGGTTAACTAACTTAACAAATGCAGTGATTCATTTCACAACTGTGGCAAAAAAGGTTGTAAAATGGGGCAAAATACATTTAACAACCGTCTCATTCAAACAACATAAATTTGGGGCTCTATTGTGGTGATAAGTTGAGGATTACCTATACTTTTTTGGGGGGGGGACTTCTTTGCCTTCCCATAACTTCTGAATGTTAGCAATATCCATGTCGCTTTTGAATCAAACTTATATATTTATCAGTTCCTGTTCCCAATACTGTTAAAGTCTGGACTTCAAATCTTAAGTATTATGTTACTAACATAATTATGTTACTAAGTGCATTTATTCAGTAGTTTGAACATTTTTTTAGTCTTGATCACTTATTGGAATTAGAATATAGACTTTGGTCACAGCTGTGATGTTTTTGGTACCTGCTTATCAATCATGTGTAGCAATTTAACTGCACCATTTTGTTAGACTTTTAAGCAATTGTGCTAGTATTTCATCAAATCCTGCAGCTTTCTGGATAATATTGATATGAATTAACATTATAATATATAGATTTGCAAATGGGATGAACAAATTGTATTGTAGGTTATACAAATAAATATTGATATGTTTTGCCACTAAATTTCAAACCTATAGAATAATAAATTGTACTCAATGAACATGTGAGAATTGGGGGGAAATGGGGGAATAAAGGAAGAGGTGATAGAAAGAAAAGGGGTTATTGTCAGCATGTGACGCTTTTGAAAACATGTCTCAAAGCATTCTGTTTGATATCATTCGAGACTGTATTCATAATAATTTGAAATATATTTTGTTTTCTAATATGAAATAGGATAAAAACTGCATATTTGAATAATGTAAAACCATTGCATATTTCTCCGTCAGGATAAGCATGTTTTAGTTAAATGTATTTTAAGACCACAGACATCAAGGGGTTAATTATTCAATTTACCTATTTGTAGAAAGAAACACCAATTAGTACAATAATACTGTTCAGTAATGAGGTTAATATTTCATCAGCTCATTGGACAGTTAAATCAAATTTTCATTTTTCATTCTGAGTAATTATAGAAGTTAATAGAATGAATGGATATTAACTGTGAAATAGGCTTTTTAGAGAAAATGGACTAATGATGAAATAAAATTTTCTTATCCTTCTTATGTTAAAGGAGAATTACATATTGTTCATTGTTTTCAAATACGTGGGGACAGGGCATTCTAATGAGGACAATGGGCAAGCAGCTTTGAATCTATGCTATTTTATTCTATTTTATCTTTTAATTTGCTATTTTAATTTACACGTCTGTGTACACACACACACACACACACACACACACACACACACACAAATTATAGCTGTTGCTGCAGCCCT